TAAAATGTTTTGATGATAATCATTTATTGCTGGCAATATTTTTTTACAAAGTATTTATGGTATTAAGACCTATTTTTACACTTTGATAGTGTTTTGACTCCAGTTTGTGGGGGTTAACTACTTACCCATAGATTGAACCCTAACAGGTGCTACCACCCCAGGTCATGGTGGACCTGGGAACACCAGTAATTAAGAGGTGGTTCCACGCTCCTCAAAACCTCTTGATCGGAGGCCTTGCTGTTGGATGTAATTTATCGTCTTACCCAGGATGCGGATGTAGTTTATTGTCATACCCAGGACGGGCAGTGGACAAAAGATAACGTAATACTTGATGAACAAAATAGTTAGCCATATTCCATTTTAGAAAATTTTTAATTAAGTAACTATAAAAAAACAATTTTCAATTGCTCTGGTTAAACTGAAGGATGTTTTCTCTCACTAATCGAGTATTATGTATACACTAATCGAATTTTGGTATAAAATATTTTGGCGCACTAATCGAAAACGTATTAATCTAAAGCGCGTTAATCGAGGAATTTCTGTATACCAAATATACTTTTAAACAACGGGGGAACGCCTTAACAAAATTTTTTTCAAGATTAGGGTTCGTTTCGCAATACGATCACGTCGGCGTCAAAATTTCAGTTATTCTGTTTTGCTTAGTCTTATGTCTATTGTCTTTTCATGTTGACTTGAATATCGTCTAATTTTAATTATGTTTTAATAACTATGTCCTGAAGAAGGTCTACGAGACCGAAACGTCTGACGTTGACATTGAAACAACATTAAAACAGCATACTTGCATATTCGGATTTTTGTTTTTCCATATTTTTCTTCATATATATATATATATATATATATATATATGTGTGTGTGTGTGTGTGTGTGTGTGTGTTTATTACCTCAAACATGGTTATAGACGCCCCATTTTTATTTATTAAACATTGTGTATTACGTTTATCAGCTTACGTATTCGAGAATCTTTGCAAAGAAAATGCGTCCCCTGGCAAGATTAAAAATAAATCAATTAATTATGCATACATCAATATTTTAACTACTTAAGATACCACCAGCCCAAATGAGAAAACGAAATAATAGCCAAGTGAAGACTTGTAAAAATATTTATCATTCAAACATTAAAATCAATTATTTATGTAAAAAACGAGATACAATTTTCCTAAATTAAGAAAAGAGCAGAACGCTTAAAAATTATAAACGGTAACATGTCTAGTAAAAAAAACACAAAATAAACCGGAGATAAATAGCAACAAATAGCAAGAATTGAAAGAAAGAAGAAAAGAAAAAAAAAAAAAAGACAAAATCCTAAAGAACGAGTGTTATGTGAGAAAAAAACCCAACAACAACAAAGAAGGACGACCTCCGATGCGTACGGACATCCGCGCAGACGGGCGCACATGTGCGAACACACATCAACAGAGACCGGCACATGGCCGCTCGTGCCCAGTTGCACAAAAAACATTAAGGAAAATAACTTACACCAATGATAAGTGCATGAAAACGAAAAATCGAGAAATATAAGCAGTCAATTGGTGATACCTCCTGAAGAGTGGACGGATGGGAAGCTGAAAGTAACATCACTCAGTAAATGACAAACTTTTACTGATATATATATATATATATATATATATATATATATATATATATATATATAGTGTGTGTGTTTTGTGAAGAGTAAATAAGTAAACACTGAAGTAAACAGCGTGTGATTAAAAACAAACTTAATTTTATTCCTAAACTTTATCACCTTGTTCGTTGTTTTGAGTTGTCATGATTTTCCGTTCCATAAAAAAATGGCCGCCAGTTTTGGTCTCCTCATTGATTACCATTGTCAGTGTTATTCGATTGAAGCTTTATCATCATTAAATTAGAAAAAAACAAAAAACAAACAAAAACGACTATCACAACTGAAAAATGACGCGACTGTACCTTTCTGTTCATAGAATTACTCGAAGAGTGAAATTAGTTTAGCTTTTAAACTAATACAGCAATAAACGATTGAACCCATCAGTGATCGATAGTCTTTGCAAAAAATAATGAATACTTTTATGCTATTATTAGATATAATTTTATCAATCCGAAAGGACGATCGATTTTACCTTTGACTTCTTGAAGAGAAACGAATGTATTTCATGGCGATGATAGGTCTCCACAAGCAAGGAGGATGACGAGAGACGAATATTTAGAGATATATACAAAGTGGCGCCTACACGTGGTCATTATTCTGTTAGCTTTTTTTTCTTTTTTATCATCACTCCTGTAATGATATCGACTCTCAATGGATACCCTACAGTTTTTGAAAACACGCTATGCTTAGTAAAAGTCAACACACACACACACACACACACACACACACACACACACACACACACACACACACACACACACACACTATATATATATATATATATATATATGTGAAAAGTGTATATAAATATAAATAAATATATATATGTATAATTATTTATATATTATATGCGCGGTACTTATTAGAAAGCTCTCAATATCAGAGATAGAGCTAACATATTTGGTTGGATAGATGTGAGTTTGTGACCCTGGGTTTCACGCTTTAGCGTTTGTCTGACGATCGCTAAAGCGTGAAACCCAGGGTCACAAACTCACATCTATCCAACCATATATATATATATATATATATATATATATATATATATCGCCAAAAGAAGTAGGACAATAGACACTATGGACAATTTTTGCACTAGAAAAAGTAAATAAAAATTACCAAATTTACCTTGTCTGTCAACGAAACATATTTGGAATAAAAGTTACTGCCCATATATATATATATATATATATATATATATATAATAGAGAGAGACTTGAGAGAAAATTACTGAGTTGATACATATTGTTATTTCGATGTTTCGATACTATACTAAATATACTAAATTTAGTATATCGAATTAAATCATTCGTAATGATTCTTCCCCATCAACTAACATGTTACAGAAAACCAGCATTGTATATAAATTTAAATGACTTCTGGGATATTGTATCTCCAACGGAAAAAAATAATATTTTTGGGGGACCACACTACGACCACGTTGTCTCGGAGCTGAGTTTTCATTTTAATGATGCATCCAACATTTCTAAACATTTACAAATGCATAGCTTTCCACATTCATAATTTAGAAAAAAAATCTATTGAAAGTACATCTATACTTTTTCATGAAAATAATAAACAAACTAAAAATTCTTAAAGCTATCTGCATTAAAAAATTGAAACGAAACCATAATGAAATGAATTATGAATACTGCACAAATAGTTTAAAATGTTTACAGTAGATAGTTTCAAATATCGAGGTTTGTATTGATAGTTTTAAGACTTACTTCTTAAAAAACTCTCGACCCCTCCTATAATTTAGTGACCTCTCCTCAAGCTTTAATCAAGCCAATCGCACAGCACTAGACTCAGAATTCTTTAGAGGGAGGACACCACACCAGCCTCCAATTGATTTCCATCTGATTTTTTCCCACGGATTTAATTCCTTTTATTGATAATATATATTTATTAACTTCGATTTAGCTCCTTTGACCGAGGTTCGAAACCGGTTAGCTAGCCCGTTCTTCATTTTTTTTCTTTTAATTATAATCATGTGTGGTAGTAATAAAAATACAAATGAAATTTGCCTATTTTTGGCATATATATATATATATATATATATATATATATATGTAATCAAATATATGGATATAGATCCGACAGTATGAAGACAAATATTCAGAAAAAAACAAACAAAAATCTTAATATGCAATTATGCTGTATTAATGTTAATATAAAGTTAACGTCGGACGTTTCGATCTATTTAGGACCATCATCAGGACATATTCATAAAACATAATTAACATTAGAACATATAAAATTCAACATGAAAAGGCGATGGACATAAGAGCACAACTAATCCAAACAGATAACTGAATCTTTTTTTTATATAAGATCAGCGTTCCGTTTAAATATGATTACGTCGTTGTCACGTGGGCGATGTTGTGAAAACGTATTCGAAGATGATTTAAAAATATTAAAATATTAAACAAGTTCGATTGAACTATTTTCTCATATAAACAGTTCAAGAAATCCTTTCCGTTGATATAGGAATACGCAGAGATCAATAGGTTCTTATATTTTCATTATTATGTTTAATTATGTTTTATGAATATGTCCTGATGATGGTCTAAAATAGACCGAAACGTCTGACGTTGATTTTATATTAACATTAATACAGCATAATTGCATATTAAGATTTTTTTGTTTGTTTTTTCTGTATTTTTTTTCATTCATATATATATATATATATATATATATATATATATATATATATATATATATATATATGTATAAATGTGTGTGTGTGTTTATGTGTCCAATAAGACATTGTATACTTTTAATGGCCTCCTAAATTTAATAATAAAGCATTCATCCTACAGTTTCAATCCATTGGACTTGTAGGTTTGGTCAAAGTAGCAGAATAAGTGCACAGAGCCTAAAACTGTCATCCTTTTAACATTCTGTAAGACTTACAGTAAAAAAGCCACTTAAACAAATGCATTTCCGATTGTAACTACAGAGAGCCCATCCGAGTAATGTTGGTTTAAATCTGACAAGCAGCTTTCATATATTTTATGTCGACCCTTGGAGTGTCATGGCCTTCCAAGCCTTTTGGGCCGCTACTGACTGCTATCCCGCGATTCAATATGTCACGTTTTACTTAATGCCCCGACTGTATTTATCTACACTTGCTTGGAAACCTTTTGTAACAGTAGAAAAGATTGACACTTTCTTTCGACTTGTAATCATACCAGCGATGTCTTTGTTTTCTAATATTAAGATTTAATATATTTGCTTTCCATGCAGTTTATGAAGACACCCAAAGTGCATAGAGACCATATTTCGGTCCTTCCAAGCCAAACTGGTTCGTTGTCATAATTATATAATTTAACATATGCATAATATATTCATGCTAAAGCAGATTGCAGTTCCTTCCTTCCTTCCTTCCTTCCTTCCTTTCAACGTCAATATCAATCCTTAAATAATCTTTGTCTTTCTTTTTATCTATTTTTCTTTCTTTCTTTTTTCTTTCTTCTTTCTTTCTTTCTTTCTTTCTTTCTTTCTTTCTTTCTTTCAACGTCGATATCAATCCTTAAATTATGTTTGTCTATCTATCTATCTATCTATCTATCTATCTATCTGGTCGCTACTGATAAATATGTTTTTTATAGCCATCTTTCAGAGACTTTGCCTCAGTTTCTATCTATCTATCTATCTATCTATTAGGCAATCCTTCTAGCGATGTTTTCGTTTTTAATATTTAGATTTAATATATCTACATTACATGGTCACTTTATGAAGATACCGGAATTGTTTGTGACCAGATCCCATATTTGGCTCATTTTAGGCCCTTCAAGTTTGTTAGATTGCTACTGATAGATACATATGCTTTTTATACATTTTTATATCTATCTATCTATCTATCTATCATTCCGATCGCTACTGATAAGTATATGTTTTTTATAGCTAGCTGTCATAGACTTTGCCTCTCTCAGTTTCTATCTATCTATCTATCTATCTATCTATCTATCTATCTATCTATCTATCTATCTATCTATCATTTTCGCTTGATATACCTACTTATCAATTCCAGTTTCTTTACGTCCTTCCGTTTTTCTTAAGCCGGATCTTGCTCATCTCTTTGTATGAACTGAAATGTCTAAATCTCTTCAGGAAACATCTTCAATGATTATCTCTTTATGAACCTCATTTCCCGTTTGGTTTCGCGCCGTACAAGACCCTTTAGGGGTGGGGGGTCATCCGAAATGAACAAGAACGTGCACTTCTTTCATTGCAGGCGCAAAAACACCAGGGCATATCATGTAACGCCAAAGTTAATATTCTTTGCAATTTGATTGATACGGTTTCACGTAAGTCTTGTTCGACTCGCTATGACGTAATTTTGCTTTCGCTCGGAGGAATATTATTGGACAAACCAAATATAACCGAATTAATTTTACTGTCCTAGGATCGCGCAGTGGTTAGCGTGATGATTTCGAAGGATGTAGTTTTTGAGTTCATTTCCTGTGGGTGCTCTACACGATTTCTCTCAGTGAAAATTGTTTGCAGCATATCCTAGTTTTTTTATGTCATCTCACTTCAGAACATAGACTTTCCTGGGATTGACGATGAACTACATCCGGCAGCAAGGCCTTTGCTCGGGAGGTTTTCAAGAGCGTAGAAGAACCTCTTAGTTGCTGTTGTCTCAGTTCCTCTCTGACACGGATTGGTAGCAACTAACTGTGGGCAAATAGTGAACCACACCAAATTAGGGTCAAAACACTATGAATGTTATAATAATACATTTTTATAGTAAAATTACTAGCAAGACTTTTTTTGAAAAAAAATTATAACCAGTAATACATTTGCCTCTTTACAAAAACCCTCTTTCCAAAAATACATCAATAAAACCTTATCTACAGAGTGAATTCTTACAAAGAATACATATTCGATTCATATGAATAGAATATGTATTCTTTTAGCTCTGCATTGGCTAGTTTGGTTTGCCATTGACGACAGATAGTGAAAATTATGGTGGTCGTTTACTTCTCTCCTAAAAAAAATATCTTATAGGAATCATAACAAAAAGAATTAAAACAAAACCAACTAACAAAAAAAAATCACCTCCCCCTCCCCAGTCTTTCTCCAATACTCGCGGTATCAGTTCCAACCTTTGCAGCCTAGAATCCTTCCTGCTGGAACAGTCGCCAGATATCTTTTATCTTCGAGAAACCAACTTGAATTCTTCCATTGCGACCAATGAATTCTTGGCTCCAGGGTATCTTCCTCTTTGCCGAAAAGATTCCACGATTCACATTTGTGTTTATATCCGGGATAATCTGCCAGTGGCCAGAGAATTGTCTTGAGGTCGCTGACTATTCTTTCATGTGCTTCCGTCTTTCGCTACTAAACTCTGTCAGCTATCTCTTTTTTCCTTTATCGCTTCCCCTCTTCCCAAGATTGCAGTATATTAGACTTAATAGCAGATAGTATAAAAAAAGGAACTTTCTCTCGACCCATCTGCAGGAAACTTTGCCTTCGGTGACTTTAATATCCAATACGACATGTGGCTGAAACATTCTAAAGGTACTGATGTTCACGGTATACAGATATTCAATTTTTTCATTGTCTAATCCTTCACTCAAATCGTGGACTTCCCTAGTCATTTCACGAGCAAAACCGAGCAACAGGCTTCTTTACTGGATCTATTTTTTACCACCTCTCCTCGCTCTTTCCGAGCTTCGCAATACTGCCCTCTAGGTAACTGAGACCACTTTGTGGTAGTTATTGATATCTCCTTCCAAACATCCATTAAACAGGAACTCCCTATCCATAAGACCTATTTCCGTTACCAGAATGCTGATTGGGACTAATTCCGGGATTTTCTTCGTGACGCTCCTCGGACTGACATATTCAAACTCCCAAATGGAAATTGCGCCACTGGGGTTTCCGCTTGGGTCATAGTCTGCACGGACGCTTTCATCCTTTCAGCTGAGACAGCAATTCTCTCCTTGATTTACACCAACATACTCGACCGCCGTAGTACACAGAAACCACTATTTCCAGCTATACCAGCTTGACAGCTCTCGTCAAAACTGGGGCCTATTTGTTACTGTCAGTAACTAATGTAAAAGGTTCGTCGAAGTCGCTAAGTTTGCGAGAATGAGGCACCGCATAGCCGCTTGTGGTTTTGGTGTCACTGTAATAGGGTAATAAATAAGAGCAAGGTTTCTATGCCCCCCCTTCTTCAATCGATTTGTGGTATTGTCACCTTCTGCTGATAAAGCTGAATGTTTTGCCCGTAAATTCTTCTCAATCTCTACTATTGACTCATTTGGAGTATCCCTGCCTAACTCCCCACTTAGAAGTTAATCTCTGTTGAGTGATATATATATATATATATATATATATATATATATATATATATATATATATATATATATATATAAAAACCCTTCCATGGTTTCTGCTATCATCTTCTCGTCTGACAACCTCACGCACGGAGTCTTCGCCATCTGAAGAGATACTAGCCCTACCTCCGATGGTAATTATTTGTTCACTTTCTGACCACTCACTGCTAGTGTCACTTGTTGACGTATCTGTACCTACATAGCGACGCAAGTCCTTTATGTCTTGGTATGCCATCAACCAGCACAAAGCGCGAGTTACTTAGTCCAGCGACATGCCCCACGCGGTACCGGGTTGTACACCGGCTATGTGGAGATTTCACCCACACGCGATCGCCCAAGTCATACGGCGCACGTTCGTTTATCCGTTCAGTTGAACGCGTTGCGTCAATGCCTCGTAGCCGGACTTTGTACTGATAAATCATGTTGGCTGGCGCAGTTGAGGGCGATACATTATTGTCTCTCGGAGTAACATTATCTCTTTCACTACACATCTCTAAATTGGATCCCTACAAAAATCATAGTACACTTGGACCTGAAATAGTACTAAAACTGTATAATAAACCATTAAGATCTGTTGTTCCGCTTTAAGAACTAACTCATCCTGGGGTTATCTCTAAAATTCTCATGCCTTTTAGCAATGGCTTTGTTTTTCCAGGCCAACTGATGTGCTAACTTAACAGTGGAAAGGGGTGATGCCGATAAGCACGGGCATGGCATCGGACATAAAAAAGTCCAAAAGCTAAAAAATTAAGACACGAATCCGTTTCTCGTGAAATGAAAGTTATTGAACGACCATACATTTTTATTTCGAATAACGTTCTTTTGTACTCGGTTTTTTAATCTTATTCTCTTTCCGGTGGTGGTCATTTTGGCACGATGGGACAATTTTCTTGACGACTTCTTCAGAAAACAAGATCAAATGGCGAGCGACTGCTTATCGTTAAATGACTGGCTTTTGGCCCCCAAAACTAAACTACAATCCATTGATTAAGGACTCCTCTCTGCCCTCCATCCATGGTTGATGCTATCCGGAATCGGGCTAACTTATACAGGACTGGAAGCTGCTATGAAACATCTGGTTTTTCTATTTGGAATATATCTTGCATGTCCGTAAGTCTTGATCGTCCAGGCTTTTTAATATATGGGTTCTTCAACCAGTGGTATCAAGGTAGAATCAAAATATTGGTCCTGATTTTCTTTAATCGGTAAACCCGTCTTGGCTTTTTTTTTTTTTGATCGGATGAGCTCTTCGCTATGGTGCGCAGATATATGAATTTTCTAGATGGAGTGATGAAAATTATTGACCAGATACTCGTTTGTGGAAAATCCAGCGAACTTTAATCTTAAAAATTTAAATGCAAAAAAAAAATTCATGATATTTTATCATTTGTCCAGATGCCGATTAAAAAGAAAAACAAATCAAGCCATTCGGATTTTCACGTGGGACGCTTCGACACTTCTTTAGAAAGGCACTGCTGTCGAAATGACTGGTTGGGTAGAAGGTTCCACTCTCCGGAACCTTGGAAGTGGAACATCTGGTCTAGATGTGTGACATTTTTTAATATAGGTTCCAACCAGTGGTATGCCACAAAATAGTTTTTCTTTAATCGGCAAACCCACTTCATATTTTGCGTAGTATACATTTTCGATGGAGGAAAATTATTGACCAGTGGTTAAAAAAAAAAAATTATGATATTTTTAATTTGTCCAGATTTTTGATGATGGCTTTAGGGAATGAGAAACCTTGCGTCTAGGAGAAAGATTAGGTGATTGAATCCTTGGATTGCAGGTAGATCAGATGGCTTGGAATGAGAAATCGGAGAAAGGTCGGTTCACTGCTAAGAAGGTCTGCGCGAGACAATTTTTCTCTTCGGAATCTTGTATATCTATAAGTCTACCATTCCACCATGCTTACAATATTGCTGCCATATATGGTCCGGTGCCACTGCTAGTTGGGTTGAGGGTTCTATGGGTGCCGCCAACTGTCTGATAATTTTTAACCATCAGCTATGGGGTAAATAGCAGGACAGGCTGGGTGCTATGGATCCTATAGCCTTGGTTGGCAGAAAGTAACTGCAGTCTACACCGGTAATTGTTCTACCAAGTCAATCATGAATCGAAAAGAGACACGATCACCCAAGCGTGCATCGCTCATGGCTGCTAATGGAGGGAGACAAAGGACTAGAAGACACATTCTCCTGGTATCAGTTTAAACTTTTTTTTCTTCGTATATCTAAATTATGAAGAATAAGGCATTTTGTATGAACAAATACCTTTTGTATGATCGCGACCGGCGCAAGAACAAGAGATTTGAAC